TGCAGGGCATACATTAAGGGCTTATGGTCGGTGAATAAGATGAATTGACGTCCTTCTACTGCGTGCCGGAAATGTTTGATGGCGCAGTAGGCTGCAAGCAGCTCGCGACCAAAAGCGCTATATCTCGTCTCCGTGGGAGTAAGGCGTCGTGAGAAAAATTCAAGGGGTTGCCAACTACCGGAGATATTCTGTTGCATAACGGCTCCTATAGCGAAATCTGATGCATCAACCGCTATACTAAGCGTGGCTGATGGGTCAGGATGAGCGAGAAGTGTAACTTCAGCGAGAGCCGTTTTGATCTCTGAGAATGCAGTACGTGCGGCATCGTTCAGTTCTAATTTGCGTGGATTACCGCGTAGTAAATCGGTTAATGGTCGTAACCGTTCTGCCGCGTGAGGGATAAAACGTCGGTAGAAGTTAACCAAACCGAGAAAAGCCTTCAGTTCCTTGATTGAGGACGGCACGTTGTACTCCTTGATTGCTCGAACTTTGTCCTCGCAAGGTAGAATACCCTCTTGTTTGATGATGTGACCCAGAAATATTATTTCTGATTTACCCAACTCACATTTCTCTGGGTTGACTACTATTCCATTATCCGAAAGACGTTGGAATAATAGCGTAAGGTGTTGATAATGTTCATCTACGTTTGATGATGCGATCAGCAGGTCATCAATATAGACGTGAACAAAATCCAAGTCTCGTACTATGCTATCGATAAACCTTTGGAAAGTTTGAGCAGCATTCCGTAATCCAAATGGCATTCGTAGGAACTCAAACAGACCGAAAGGAGTCGTGATAGCAGTTTTCTCGATGTCTTCAAGAGCGACTGGGATCTGGTGATATGCTCGTACCAGATCGATTTTAGAAAAGATAGTCGTGCCCTTGAGCGATGCCGTGATGTCGTGTATCTGGGGGATGGGGTAGCTATCAAAGCGCGTAACTACGTTTAATGCTCGGTAGTCGCCGCAAGGTCTCCAACTAACCCCATCCTTTTTGCGCACCATGTGTAAAGGAGAGGCCCAAGGACTGTGAGAAGGACGAATAATACCAGCAGATAGTAAATTGTCAAACTCACGTTTAGCGAAAGCTAATTTGTCCGGTGCCAGTCGGCGTGGTCTTGCCGTGACTGGTGGTCCGCGGGTGACTATGTGGTGTACCACACGATTGGTCACCGATGAAATCTCCTCGAATGGTTTAGTTAATCTGGTGAATTTCTCGAATAAGGCGTGGAATTTATCGTCACGCGAGTAAAAAGTGCCGAGGATTCGGTACGCGTTTGTGTGAGCTTTAAAGCCCATGAATTTGCTGTTCGACGAAGTATCGATTAGCTGCAGCCTACGTGAATCGACTAGCAATTCATAGTGCTGTAGGAAATCAATACCTAGTATGGCTGTGGGAACATCAGCAATGATGAACGTCCACAGATACCGTCGTCGGTTGCCCAGGTTGACCGCGAGTTGTCGTGTACCGTAGGTAGGAATGGCTGAGCCATTTGCAGCGCGTAGTCGAAGCATTGTAGCTTGTGACTTGATGATACCTCGTGGTACGACAGAAACTTGGGCACCTGTATCCACTAGGTACCTAGCGTTTGTGCGATAATCGTGCACGTAAAATAAACGGCCAACCTGATGGGCAGGGCCGGCGAGTACGGCCGCTTTTACTCGCCGGCTTTGGAGTTTCCCGCCTTGTATGAGCACGGGGCTCGACAACGGCGGGCACCAGATCCGAAGGATCGATGGAACCAGCACCAACCTGCACTCGCTTCCGAAGCCGCCTTTTGGCGTGGCTTGGAAGATGCCCTCGTTGGGCGAGTGTTGACGGCTTTTCGAGAGCGTGAGCGGACTCGAGGGACGTAGGGTTGGGGTACGTTACAACGGTCTCGAAAACTAAGACGTGTATGAATACACCCTTCCCTGTCACCTTGAGCCGAGGAGTGGCTGCCGTCGATATCGACTTTCGGACGCGATGTTGAGGCAACTACGTAGTTGTCTCGATTGCCAGTCCTAGCTAGAATTTTGTCTGCTGTGAGGGCTACCTGTTTCAGTGGTGCGTCCTCGAGCAGGGCCGTAACTGTAGGTTGGATAAATGCTGGTAGAGATTCGAGCCACAGTTCTTTAACAATTTCAGAATCGGCTGCCGTGGGTCCTGCAAGAGATTGCAGGCGCGTGAGGTGGTGGCTCGGTTTAGCATCACCCAGGGGGTGACGTGCTAATAACGTCCTCAATCGTTCCTCCCTCGATGGGAGGAAATGTCTGAGGATCGCCTCCTTGAGACGATCGTAAACATTGGGCACATTGGAATTGAGGACAACCTCACGGACAGCTACTAAATGGTCTCCCGGTAAACATTCGAGAGCGTAAGTGTACTTCTGCCGTTGGCTTGTAATATGACGGGTCTCAAATTGAGACTCTATAGCAGCAAACCAAACTTCGGGATCGTGAGGAATAAAAGATACAGGTCGAAAGTGTATAACCTGTACGTCAGAGTCTATTACGTTAATATTATTCTTATCGTTATCCGTCATGTCAAATATATTATATATTAAAAATTAATATGAAAATATATGACAGACGTGGATAGATAAGCGATAGACTCACCAAAATTGACTATGAACACCGCTACCAGACTACTTGCCAATAGACCAATAAAACCCCGGTAGGCCAAAATATCAGAAGGCAGATGATTGTAGTAGTCGTATATATTTGTTGGCAATCTCGTGGTATCGAAAGAATACCGAGATCGTGCCAAAGGAGTACAAGCGTGGTTACTGAGCGTAACCGGATTCGTACAAGTTCGAAGTCAACGGGAGAGTAAGTATAATGGCTGTCATTAGCACAGTTAAACAAACGAGCACAGTAAAACAGTCACTGGTACAATTGGTTATAATAATAATTGTTTTCATCGAACCAATCGTGTTCTGTTGACAAAAGTAGGTCACTACAAGTCTAAAAATTAGATGAGTGATTTTAAGGCATGAAGCAATTCCACCACAGTGAAAAATGGACATTAAGAAATTAACTAGTAAAATGCCATCTTATTTCATGGATTCAAGATATATGAGATCTAAAATTTTGAAACTCATCAAGTGAATATTAGACATTGAATGGATTTTATTCAAGGATTGAGCTACAAGTGGTAATATTGGTCATCGGTTTGTTGGTAATTGTCGAGATTTCTGTGGCATCGCGAGTTATAAAATAGTCCAATGACCCTTCAGATAAAGAAATACATCATGTTACTACAATTACATGAAATTATACATTCATTCCAATACCCAATAGCTTTGTCACAGGCTTAAGCCTGTGACCATTGTATAGACCAGTGAATTGGTCTATAGACTAATTAGTCAATACAATATAATTTAGTTGATATTTTTGCTTTCATTGTTGTCTCGGTACGTTTCCAGGTATTTGGTACCCATCATTCACAACTAAGACAAGGATATTTGAAAACTCGGGAATTCTTCCTGGCATCTTATTTCTAGTAAACGACCTATGATCTTATTTATCAGGTGGTATGTTGACATACCACTTTTTACAGGCTTTTACTCAGAGCCTCTTTACTGCTTTTACTCTTGTTCACAGAATTTCCAAACCAAGCTTTCCTAATGCTTTTTATTCTTAAGTCTCAAAGTTACTGCACTATCCCTATGTAAAGATCCTTATTAAAAGGTCAGCAGATGTGACGTCAAAGATGAAATCCGTTCTTGAGGTGCTGCTTAATCGCCCAACTTGTCGTTAGAGAGATTCAAGCTAATTAGTGGGCTCTGCCGACCGGTATGAACTGTGTTGTTTCAGTGTTAGTAAACTATGTAGTTCTAAGTGTCTAGGAAGTTTGTCCCAATAAACTCCTAAAAAACCGTATCAGTCTGTTTTGCGAGGTATTACATGGACATAAGAGAAGGTTAGTGCATGAAATACCTAGGAGGTATAAATAATAACAGTTTGTTGTATTTATCTAATTTACTTGTGGATGAGAATTCTTATTTCTGCAAACGCGAGAACAACTTAGGTCCCCACTTGATAATCCTATGATAGGTGTAAACGAAATAAGTTTGATCTATATTAAAGTTTAAATTACGGACTATATTAGTTCTTAGTTCACTTTAGGAGGGAAAGTGTTTTCCATCATAAATTTCTGTAGCATTTAAGAGAAAGCTAGTTTATAGGCATTTCAAAGTAGTTGACCCTCTCAATTCTTTTATACTCCTTTCTAATTTTCGATTCAAACAAATAATTTTGGTGTACAAACTCATTTATGTACTAGGTCCTATGTTGTATATGAAGGTTTCATGACGATATTGTCGAATCGATCCAGTGGCCCTGTAATTTTTCTATCTATGCTACATAAAAACCCACAACAATCATTTAAACCTTCCATAATTTTCTTACCCTTATGTTGTTGTCGACCGTTCTTAAGTCATTATCCTTTAAATCATTTTTAGTAATGCCAAGTCTTGAAATATATGTTCTTCACGTGTGATGAAAAATTAACATGCAAATTTATCCTGTTTGCCAAGTCGTTTTGTAGCTTTCTTATGACTTAATGCAAACAAGTTATAAAAAGCCTCATGTGCACATCTTGAAAAGATCACTAGATTCGTCTGTAGGCGTTTGATATACGGAAATACTTCCAGTGATCATCCAGTCTGACACATGTTTGCATCGACTCAAGCTGCTGCACTATTAGCATAGCAAAGTTGTGCTGTTGTAGTAACAGTATTAGTGCTAATACGAGAGATTATACAGCGATGTCTTTGTAGTGATGTTTTTATATCATTCAAGTGTCTTACTTAAAGCATGTAGAAATGGTTTTCCAATAAATAAAACCTTTTTTGCATACGATGGTATCTGTTATAAGGTCAGTTGATCTTTTTTCATCTTATATTGGATCATTTTAGCATTTATCGTAATTTATAGGAACCATACGGTTCTGCTTCACACCAAAGTTCTAAATAACCGTATATTATTCGAAATACAAAACAGTTAGCTATCATATAAATGGGTAAGCATTTTTTTCAAACACAATCCTTATGATTTCAGGTGGTATATTTAGTCTGTTTTCCCGACTGTTTGGAAATAAAGAACGGAGAATCCTCATCCTAGGCTTAGATGGAGCGGGGAAAACGACAATTCTCTATAGGTTACAGGTTGGTGAAGTGGTAACAACCATCCCTAGTAAGTCCTTAATTTTCGATAGATTCTTTATAAGCAGCACTTGTTAGTGGTATTTAAATCGCCATAATCGTAATCTTTAGACTCAGCAGGAAAATCTTATTGTAAATTTCGATAAAAGTTCTATTTCTTTTAAAAAGGAAATCTGTCTATTCCAAACTAATCTGTGGTGTAAGAATGATTTATATAAACATATTTTATGAAAATACTATTGGTAGCTTAGAACAAACTGTTCATAAAAGGAGAAAAAGTATGCTGTTTAGCGTACAACACTTATTCTCCACTAGTTTAATTCAGTAAGGAAGTGCTTCTCTGTATATATATATATATATATATATATATATATATATATATATATAGTTTATTGCTTTATAAAGTAAGAATATAATCGGTTAGTTAGTAAAACGTTATTATTCAATATTGCGAGATTAATCAGCAAAAGAGAGTCTTAAACGAATATTTTAATAGCGCAACTATTTCCCTGATATCATCCAGAGTATGTAAGTTGATCCGACACGAGGCACACACGAGTATGTGAGATACTTACCGTTATCTATTAGTACAAACTAATTCTTATTCCGAGCCTTCTCATATAAATAGTAAAAGTTCAGATTGGTCTAAATAGCACTAATACTTCTTTTCACGATAACCACTAAGTTCTGACTCAAATGTACCATAAAGGTCAAAGTTTCTAGATATATTTCTAGAGATAATGTGAATTAAATATTAAAATGTTCGAAGTATGAATGAAGTAACTGTCCAATATCCCATCTGTTATTTGTTCTTAGCTCTGCTTTTAAAAGCTATTAGCTAAATTATTGGGTCTACCCTAACATTTTGGACTAACTATTTTAAATTTTTTAAGTTAAGTATTAATTATGCTAACTGAACCAGTTGAGATGACTAGGACATGTGTTGCGTATGTCCAACCACCGACTGCCCCGACGTGCAATGTTTTATGGTGTAGGAGTAGATTGGAAGAAAGCTAGGGGCGGCCAGACCAAAACATGGCATAAATCCATGAAGTCACTGACAAGTGGACTGAGTCATGTTGGTAGATGTAGACTATCTGGTTGGGGTCCGCGAGACGATAGCAACCGGTGGTTAGAGATCTTGAATGACATGGCTCAAAATCGTTTGCAATAACGCAGGTGCATCCACTCTTTGTGTTCTCCCAAACTCTAATCTTCTGAATTCTTCATGTCGTTTATTTTCTTTCCAAATCTATTCCACTGGATTATACTCCTTAAATAACATCATCAAACTCTAATGTTCCCTATCACTACTTATACTTTCACTACCTCTACCACTACGGGATTTGAATCGATAACTGAATCTCTGTGCTAATGTGGTGTGGCAACTCGAACTGATGTACGTACGTACGAAGTTCCACGTTGTTACTGACTGACTGACCGATACTAACTGCATATACTCATGATTGAAGATAAGTGACAGATACTGTCTAGTTAAAAAATTTCATAAAGCTTTTCCTGAATAATTAAAATTCGAATGGATATAAAACAGAAATTTGTTTCGAAATTACACTATTGATGCTGAAAATCCTTTACTCTGACAAAATTCATAGCACTAAATAATACTACTATTATTACTATCATCATCAAAAAAAATCACCGAATTACAAATAAATATGACCTCTTTTCTAAAAAAAGAAACCGAGTGAAATTCTTTAGAATTATTGATGTACATATTCTTCTTTTTCCAAAATCTCAGCTATTGGATTCAATGTAGAAACGGTTGTTCACAAAAACCTTAAATTTCAAGTGTGGGATTTAGGCGGTCAAACTAGTATTCGACCATATTGGCGTTGCTATTATGCGAATACTGATGCTATTATTTATGTAGTGGATAGTATGGATAAAGATCGAGTTGGAATTTCTAAACAAGAATTATTTTCTATGCTTGAGGTAAGTTTCTTTAATTTTAACTTCATTCATGTATTAACTAATAGATGATTCATAGTTGTAGGTATGAGTTTATGGTTGTTCTGTTTTATTGAGATCACGAACCGATCTAAAAGAGCCAGTGGAGTTCAACCGTGTTGGGTGTAAGAAAGTCACCTACTAAATACAATGAAAAATGACCGCCTAGTATCTCGTACACCATTAAATCTTTACTCAATGGTTTAGAGGTCAAGTGTTCGCATTCGTGACGGCAAGTCCTAGATCGGGTTCTTGGTTGCCGGGTCGTAGATACTATCTGTTGATGATTCTCATACTAGGACTGATCTGTTATCCAGTGCTTTCACGTTTCAGTGGTTGTCTAACCTAAATCAGTTCGTGATCTCAATAAAATTTACATTCGTGTTTGTTATTCACCTCTACGAGTGACGTTCAGTATTTCTATTGGTGTACTTTTTTATTCGATAGTTCCAATATTCTCACTTATTCTTTCGATGAAGTTGTTTATTCTTGTACTACGTAGAATAAATTTATTTCAACAAGTAGCTGACTATTTTGTGATAGAATTTACTGTATGAATTCATCGGCCCATGTATTTTTTCCTCGATATACTAAGTTTTTAGCATACTCAGACATTGTTGATACAACCTACATCGAAATATTTCCTAAAAACGTGTGTTCAGTATGCGGTTTATGCTCTATCATAGATGTGTCACAACATAATAACGTGTAGAACTGGAGAGCAAGTTATGATAGGTCTTGTTCCTTGAACCGCTTTTATGTGCTTTTTTAGCATACTTTGGTTTGTGAAGTTTAGATAAATGCTCAAGACAATCAAAAATCATGATAATCAGAAGAATAAGGACACAAAGTGTATGAAGAAACATAGTTAATATCGATGTGTTTTTATATGTGAAGAAGTAATAATTAAGAGGTTATGTAAGAGTAATAAAATTAATATGTGATTGAGTAATCTCCCAACATGATAAAACAGAATTGTGTGTGAACATCATTATGTAAGAGATGAATATCAGAAGAAGAGAGAATAATAAAAACATTGAGGACTGAGTTGAAAATGAATAGGAGTTATTAGATAAACATCCAATCACATCATGACAGGAAAAGGCTAATCAAACTTTTCTTCTGTATACATTGGTCAATTCGGAAATGTTTGATAGCGATCGTCTCTGTAAAGTGGAATAAGATTGGTGTTTTTTGTCTACTAACTATTTAGATCTTAGTGTAAGACGAAAAAATGATGGAAATCTTGAAAAAAGTATATATACAAAAGAAACATGTACAGAATAGTATTTGAACTTTAGCACTCAATTCCTAGTAGAAGTAAGCGCAGATATTCTCCAGAATGATAGTGAAAGCTTCACAATTAAACCATCTAGCTCTAAGAACTCCAAATCAACATTGATATAACCATTCGTCGTACAGGGTGGATGGAATACTTATCAATAATTTTGGGTCACTACTTATACAGGTGTACTATGTTAATTGAATTAGAACTAGGAAGAAGCCAGTTATACTTGACCAAGTCACAAGACTTGAAGCAACAATCGATAATATACTCCAATACATATTTCCTGGACAATAACCATATATTTATCTGCATCACTATAGTTGGAGTCTTAAAGACATATTTGACCTGCCGTACTCCATTTTCAATTATCCTTGGAACTTGTAAATTTTCACTTATCTTGTACTTCCCACTTCTTTTTGTCAGTTGTTTTATTTACCATTTGTGGTTTTTTTTTCTCATTCACTACTGTTATTTTTCCTTATTTTATTACCACAGTGTGTTGTGACAACGTGAAGCGTTGCTTAGTTATACTGAGTTCTATATTCATTGATTCACTGGTTTTAAGCATATATCTATATGTATATATAGTAGATCTTTTAGAACAAAATCCAAATCAATTTCTATTAAAATCAACTTAAGTGACGTTCGTATTTTCCAATAGTTTTACTTAGACTAGTCACGTTGTTAGAATACTGGTCATTTAAACTATTGAAGTGTTATAGATTCGTAATTTTATTACCAAAATTAACGTAGTTGGACAGTAAAAGATTGGATAAATTTATTTTTAGCTGAATGTTTTTAGCTAAATGAATTAATACAGGCTTATTTTTGTCTCATTCGTATTATTGCATAAATGATTGGAGTTTAAACTTGATATAACCTGTACAAATGAATTTCCATTTAGTACTACTTAAGTTTTTGATAGTTGTCCAGTCAAAGCTAAGATCGTTGGTGTAAATTACAAATTGAATGATTCCTACAAATCTCTATTCATCAAAAACAACGAAAATAATAGTGTTAGAGAGTAGAAAATTAGGACATATTAAGTAATCGTTTCACGAATTAAGTTACTTCAGAGAGATATCAGAATTGGACTTTATGTTTGACTATGTGACTAATTTTTTGTATAACTAATACTAAGTTGTCCCAACTCAATTCGAAACTAGAAACGATATGGTTAAAATCAATATACTTCATTAAAATAGAACCTCGGCTGTCCTCTTGGTTACTATATCACTAATTCTAATCTCACTTTGGTCTGGTCATTTAAGTATTGTCCGTACTGACATAGTATAGATGGAGTGTAGCTAGCAGTTTATTTATTTAAACACATGAACATTGGTACAAGTAGGCACCAAATAGATATGCGCCACATAAATCCTTCGATTTGTGTGAGGTCTAGGATACTACCCGAGGGCGAAAACTGAAGCAGGTGGTTTTTTCAGGGGGCCACACCCCGAGCCTTCGACCTAACGGCCTGATCCACAAGCGACGTAAGAAGATACAGTACCTTGGTAGCCAGTGACCAACGATTAGTTCATACACCATTTTTCCTTCTGGATACTGGAACCCATGTGCACCATTGGTTTTGAATCAGGGTTTTCCAACTCCCCTATGTGGACTCTCCGTGTTCACCAACCCTATTAAAGCGTCGGACATCCGCTTTTCGTCCTCTCAATTTCATAAACAACACCCCCATCACGAGAAGGCAATGAGTAAGACTTCCCTGGCAGTAGTTGTATGCACGTGGCCGTGTGAGGACATTTCGAGAGGGTGACCGGACCCTCCCCACTCTCGGCCGTACCAGGGCATTTGGTGGCTAGCAGTAGATTCCAGGATTTGCGCTTCGTCCTATTTAGGACTGGTCAGCAGGACGTACCAGTATCCCAAAGTTGATATTTACTCATGGATTCGAAACCACTTACGTTCATCCTATTGTACAAGCCAGTAACTATTTGAACTCAGTAGCCAAGTGGATAACGCGATGGGGATTGAAGTCAATTGTACTGGGTCTAAGTCCCGAAGTGATCATCAACTCTGGGATATTGGTACGTCATACTGACCAATCCTAATTAGGACGAGACGTGCGTCCTAGATCTCGCTGCTAGCCACTATCCATCTCTGCTTATAACGCCTGCGACGTGAGGCAATCCCTACTGGATTCCCATGTGCCAATCAAGTGATCAAATTCCATTTAAAATATATCAACAACGGGGTAATTCAAACCATTTTAAATTGAATTATTCAAACGTAGTCGAATATTCTTATATTCCTTCCATATTATTCACATAATAAGTATGTTTTGCAGACAGTTGACCGATTTCAAAGTCTAATATTTAAGTGAACAATTTCTTCAATTGTTATAATTCTAAGTCTATAAATATTGTGTCGTTACATTAGACAAAATGTTATTGTATATATATATAAACTTTATTAATGAATTGATAATTAGCGTGTTATCTTGACGTGGTGATGACATAGTGCTGATTCAAAAAGCTCGTTTGGTTTTTACCAACTTACGTCACCTATAGTGAAGGCGAGATATCCGTCTCTCAATCAAGGGACAAGTATACTGCACAGCAGTTCGTTCTGTTCTACTTTACGGCTGCGAAACGTGGTCATTAAGGGTAAAAGATACTCGTAAGTTACTAGTATCTGACCACAGATAACTTATAAATATTGCTCGCATCTTCTGGGATCACCAGGTAAGTAATAGTGAAGTTAAACGCAGGGTATGGGGGAATGATGGTAAATCTTCATCGACTGAGATGGTTGGACCATGTGTTACGTATACCTGAACTCCGATTACCACGACGCGCAATGTTGATTAGTGCTGAGGATGGTTGGAAGAAAATTAGGGGCGGTCAAACCAAAACGTGGCATCAATCCATAAAGTAATTGACTTCTAGTGTTAGCCATGTTGGTAGATGAAGACTACTTGTTTGGGGTCCGCCTGACCATCGTAACCAATGATTCGAGAATCTGGTGACGTAGTTCAGAATCGATCACAATGACGTAGGTGTATACGCTCTCTGTCTTCCCTTAAACTATGAGATTCAAATTGATTTATGTCTTTCTTTCTACAAACTAATTCTTTCTTACTGTACTATATCCTTATATACAGTCTTTCTTTTATATATTACCACCATTGAATTCGCTTCTTCTATGAATCTGGTGTTTATCTTGTTGTGCTAATGCAGTATGGCAACTTTGACCGATGCATATACGTGCCTAGTCCTACGTTGCAGCTGACTGACTGTGTTAGCAAATGAAAAGAGTGGCTTTTACGTTGGTTAATTTTTCAGCACTAAGAAAATGGTCGTACAAGTTGATATAAAAACATTGTCTTTTAACTGAAAAATTGAGATTTAATAAATTAAACAACTTATTATACTTCATTACCTGATAATATAAATAAGTTTACGTAAAATTACTATCTTTCATACGTTCAGTAATTACATCGCTTCGTTTGATGTTGTATGAATAATAAAATCCAGATGGAATCCATTGACCTTTGATTTGGTACTGATTAAAACTCATCAGTGTAGTCTATCTGCAGTTCTGATGAGAATTATAATACATACATTCGAGGTGTTTTACTATTATTATTATTATTATTATTATTATTATTATTATTATTATTATTATTAAATGATCAGAATAAAACCCAACTTCATGGTATTGTCTCTAATATCAATTGGATTCTTTTACTAATCACTCGACCTCCTAATTCTAACCAGCACAAAACGTATATCCTCCAGTTGTTTAACATCAAAGAACTTCATTAAGTCATCTAATGGACATTTTTAAAGAGTGATTAATAAAATTGCATCAAGACATAGAGAGAGAGGACTAGACGATAGGACATTAACTTTTCTTTTCCAATTAATGTGTTAATCTTACTTTTGTCTCATTGTTTCACTCGGTTTGACAAAAATGAGTACAAGAGTGAGTAGGTTAGAAACAACAAACAATTTTCCGAATGAGGAGCCAGAATGAAATCAATAAATGTGAAAATACAATTTTATGTTGAAATTATAGAAATTTCTGAGATGAGTTAGTTATATTTCCAATAGAATCGATTCATTAATAATGAATTACAATCAGTCTAATTGAATTTCTCTCATATTGTGTCCATATAATCTTTGGGAGTTTTGAGAAATTTACCACTTGGACTCTTGTTACTAACATCCTAGCTGCTCACGTGTAATTCCTGAATACCTGTACACCTCAATTCGAAAAGTGGGAAGAGGCACAAAGTGTATGAGCTTTGTCTCAAGATTAGTTATGTACAAAGAATCAAGAAAATTCTGGAACTACCAAATATAGCAACAATGTCAGTAATTATTCAACCAAAATGTGACAATCGTGTGGTTGTTTTTCGTGAAAGCCCCATTCAATATTAGGTGAGAACTTTCCAGTTTCCTGAGCCTCTGACGAAAGATATTTCCAGACTCCCAAGACGTCTTTTCAACTAAATATACGTTCATACTTACAAACTTTTTGTAACGTTATTTAATTTGTCTCGGCATGCAGGAAGAAGAGCTTCGTGGTGCTGTACTGGTAATATTGGCAAATAAACAAGATATATCTGGTTGTATGACTATCAGTGAAGTAGCACAATCACTTGGCTTAGCTGCAATTAAGAATCGACGTTATCAATTATTTAAAACATCTGCATTAAAAGGTGAAGGATTAGAAGAAGCCATGGATTGGTAAGTTTATTCAATCTATTATAAAATGAATGATTAATTTTACTTTTAAGTCTGTATTCCTTATAGTTACATAGAGTGGTTTGACTCTCAATCACTAAGTCATATATTTAAACCTCGCACCTCACGTACTTCTCTTTGAAGAGTTATTTAGTATCACCAGCCTTCGTACTTAGAGCTTGACTCGAAGCAAATTAAATATATTTGTACTTGGTAAATGAGTAAACGTGAGATGTATACAATAAGATGTTAGTTGGCTGACGGTGATGAACTGGATGTCTCACATATTTAAATTGGGTTTTGCGCTGGTTCTCACTTGTCAAGTTATATTTATAATCATATCGAAACTAATTCAAACTTGAGTCATTCATTTTTCAAGTTAGAGATGTTAGCAATCAAGTCTTCGAGTTTCATTATCCTTCTACATGTGATAATAAGTGAGACTTTTTTATCGTTCTTCTGAACGATATCATCAGTACAAACTTCAGATGAAAGCTCCACGATCAAACCATCCAGCTCAGATAACAAAACTCCATCAAAATCATCCACCTGAGCTACAAATCTTCTCCACTATCTCGAATATACTCATTCATATACTTTATTTATTTTATTTTTATTTTAACACAGATATCGGTACAAAAAGGCGCCAAATACATATGCACCACGCTGATCTCATTTTATATGTGTGAGGGCTGTGATACTGCCCGGGTGCCCAAACCGAAACAGGTGGTTTTCTTAGGGGGCCACACCCCGGGCCTTTGACCTGAAGATCTGATCCACAAGGCAGTGAAGCATCGTGAGGAGATGCAGTCCCATGGTAGCCGGTGACCAACGATTGGTTCATACGCCATTTGTTCCCGCAGGATACTGGAGCCAGCCCATGTGCACCATTGGTTTGGGTATCCGGTTGAAGCGCCGGACATTCGCTTTTCGTCCTCTCATTTTCGTAAACAATACCCCCGCCACGAGAAGGCAGTGAGTAGGACTTCCTTGGCAGAGGCTATATACGCGTGGCCATGTGGGAGCATTTGGAGAGGGAGAGCGGACTCTCTCCACTCTCGGCCATACCAGGGTATTTGAGGGCTACGTCCATGTTTCAAGGTTTGAGTACACTTGATGATACTATGAAAATAATTAAGTCAACTAACTGATTCCCTCAAATCGATACCGTTAACTGGTTTAGTTTCTTTTTCCTAAACGTTTCTACTTTAAAATTTAATTATATTTCATTGTGCACTGGATTATTAACTTTGTGTAACCACTCATGTTTATTGGTCGAAAATTATAATAACTATTACATTTGTTGATATAATACAATATGTCTTTTATTGGTTCACATTCATAGCTTAATTCACTTGATATTGTTTTACTTGAAACTTCCCATTGATGTTTAGCACTGAAATTGATCAGTCTCTTATTGGCATTCGTGCATAGTGTGCGTATCCACTCAGCTACTGAGTCCTCATGGCCATTTGCTTGTGCAATCGGGTGAAGTTTAATTCACTTTGTATTGTTGCACTTGAATCTTCCCATTGATGTTTAGCACTGAAATTGATCAGTCTCTCATATTGGCATATGTGCATACTGTGCGTATTGCCTCGATATTGCCTTCAGTTACAAGCATTCTAAGCAAATATGGATAGTGGCTAGCAGTGGAATGCAGTTTGACGCGCGTTTCGTGCTATTTGGGACTCGTCAGCTGGATGTACCTGCATCTCAGAGTTGATGTTCACTCTGGGACTTGAACTCAGTACAATTCGCTTCAAACGCCATCGCATTATCTACTTAACTACTGTGTCCTGATAGCCACTTGCTTGTGCAATGGGGTGAAGCCACTATCCATCTTTGCTTATAACACATTCATAGCTGTTTAGATTATATGTACTTTACCATATATCGGCTGATAATCAAACTTATTTGTTTGTATTAAGGCTTCAGATTTCATAAGATGCTTTTGTACATAATGATATTATTTATTGAGTTGGTGATTTGTAAACAGAAAAGTTCCTCATGTGATTAATTAACTATGAGACAGTGTGGCGCATATATATTTGGTGCCCTCTTGTACCAATATTTATAAATAAATAAATAGCTATGAGACATGTAATAAAAGGAGTAGGGTTAAACTAAGTCAAAGGACGGTAACGAATAGCCTCTTTTTCCAAATAGTACTGCTTCTATAAAATGTAATGTATTTATATTTGAAGATGGCCCCAAATGCTCTGGTACGGCCGAGAGTGGGGAGAGTCCGCTCATCCTCTCGAAATGCTCCCACATGGCCACATGCATACAACTACTGCCAGGGAATTCCTACTCATTGCCTTCTCGTGATGGGGGTGTTGTTTATGAAATTGAGAGGACGAAAAGCGGATGTCCAACGCTTTAATAGGGTTGGTGAACACGGAGAGTCCACATAGGGGAGTTGGAAAACCCTGATTTCCAACCCATGTTGCACATGGGTTCCAGTATCCTGAAGGAACAAATAGCGAATGAACCAATCGTTGGTCACCGGCTACCATGGGACTGCATCTCCTTACGATGTTCCACTGCCTTGTGGATCATACCTTCAGGTCAAAGGTTCGGGGTGTGGCTCCCTGAAAAACCAACTGCTCCGGTTTGGGCACCCGGGCAGTATCCTAGCCCCTAACAAATCAAATGAGATTTGTGTGGCGCATATGTATTTGGTGACTCTTTTTACCAATATCTATGTGTTCAAATAATAATAATAATACCTCTGAAGATGCTTCATTCGCATGGATTTCAAGGCGTGAATGTTCACCAAACTATCAAAAAATGACCAACATTGTACTATGGAGACTTCACACAGTTGCAGTAGTGGTTTGATGATTTAAACAATCGGCTCTCAACTAACAAGTGGGATTTTCGAACTTAAATCTGCCTTCATCAGCTTGAATGAACGAGTATCACCACTATGCCCTTAACACAAACAATGCAAGTCAAAGTTCTATCGTGCTTGATGACTGGGATACATTGTTACTTCTGAGCATTTTGAACAGTCTATAGGGTACTTAACCTTTATATCATTAGATAGGTGACGAAAGTAAATATCTTCATGAGTCGATATCACGTCACCATTTGTTCATTCTTAGCGTTTTAGTCAGTCAGCCACAACGTGGCACCTGGTACGTATGTACATCGATTCAAGTTGCCATATCCCATTTGCAGAAATGTCAAACCAAATACCAGAATAGTAGAGGTGGCAGTAGTATCAATGATAATAAGAAAGAATTGGGCATCGAAGACAGGATCCGGGAGAAAATATAAATTAGTGAAACAAAAACAAGATGTATGAGAATATACGACCTCAGAGTTTGAGAGAAGATAAAAATAGATGTATGTGCCCGATTTCAAACTATTTTAAGCCATGTCATTCCCAATTAAGTTACACACTAATCACTCTTGTAAGCTGAAATATGGAAGACTGGTGACTCGACATATTTGACGTGTCCTGATCAACTTCTTCCCGGTACCAAGTATCCTGTGATATCCTTGTTCGTGGAAGTAGAAGAGTTATTTACCTTGCAGTATTGTTGCTAATTATTTTAATGTCATATTTTATTTGTGCAGGTTATCGAACACTCTGTGTACACAGAAATGATCTTCCCTCTCAAAAATTCCTTCTTATTACACAAAAGAAATAGCTTGTGGATTGTGGAGTTCCTCATTTTTTATTTTACTTTTAGCCGGCCATTTCTTTGTAAATGCCCTTCTTGTCATTTGTTAAGGTTGACGAAATGTTTCTCCTTTTAACTTTTATACTTATAACCATTTGAATTAATCAATGTCTTCCTTTGTTTACACTAAAATCTACAATTTGACTTGCCTGTGATACACCTATTTTCAACCATAATACATTATCATTGGTAGATATAACCTATTATAAACTACATCGAAGTCACATATCTATTATTCGTGGAGACTTTGCCACGCAGAAGAAATACTGATGTCTTGGTTTTTTAGTACTAACCTAGAGGTTGGGTTGATTTTTTCAGATTACAACTTGCATCTAGTATGAAAGAGTCTGTTGAGTCTTGATTTAGCCATGTCAAAATGATCAGTGAATATTTTCGCCAGTTTTAGGCTACTAAGAGCTTCACCGCTAGGTCCCATTAGGGTATCAATACCTTTCGTTAGCCTCCATAATTCTTGTGGCCATTAGGCGTGCTAATGATACTCTAAAACAGTCGTGCATTTTGACCGGCTGAAGCAAAGGTGGAAAATATTTTTGTAAATTTGGTACACCAAATTTCGACTGCATTAAAGATAAATTACATAATCACCACTGACAACGGGTTGATTGAAAGAAGCATATTTTCATGCAACATTGAAGTGGAATTGGTTCTCAAACACTCTATCCTTAAAGCTGAACATACGATAACAGAGGAAACCCATACTAAACACCGAACACATGGAGGTCAGAGATAATCAACGTGAAAGGACTACATCAAGACAGAATAGCTCGAACACGCAGACTAGACCACTCTAAATACATATAGGCCTATTAACACCACCTCTTTGTCCCAGCAGTTTAACTGTTCTTGCAATCATTATATGGCGTCACGAGTAATGGGTAAAAATTTCTACAATGCCTCAGTTGCGGTTTTGTATTGCATTACCTCCAGTCTAGTACAACAGGAGGTATGATTAGCACTAAACATCTACGGATATATACGCGTGTAATTTGTTTAATTCAACCGATCTATATAAAAATGTACTGTTAAGAATAGGATGAATAGACTCATATTAAAACTATATCAAATTGCCCGACACCTCTCTAAGTTCTAATCCACATCTACACTTTATTTGCCACTAATTTCCAGATTCTGGGTTCACAATAATGATTGTACTGTGTTTTTGATCCAGTCACAAAACCTTAAGATACCAATATTTATCCAGTTCTTGGAGTGATGCAGTTTATTATTTAGTTTAAAGAGCAAAGATCTGAAAAAGAAAAGCCAAATTTTAATCACTAACTTTAAAGGCAGTAGCCAGTAATGCTGTAGTTACGAAAAATAAGAAGGTTGAGAAGATATTATGGATTTTATATGTTACTTTAGAACATCCTTGTCACTTATAAGCATTTGACTATCGGAAACTACATGGAGAACAATATCTTTACGAAAACCCTATAAATAACCTAGTCTCTATATAAATAATTTGTCAAAGATGCATCAAGACATGTGTGTTAGTTGCCCAATAAAGCGGGCGGAATGACGTTACGCCAGATTAATAACTAGTTACTATATAAATATACTAGATTCGAACGAGACAGACTGTTGTCGTCAGATGTTCCTGATTACTATCGGTGATATGAAAAGTCCACATGTACTTATGAATACATACAAGGACTTCGTTAGAAAAACACTGTAAAGACCTGTGGGATCGACCATGTGAAGCGCGGTTCAACAGATGAATCCACCACTCCATTATAACCCGAGACATTTGTAGACCAATTGTTCTAACAAACCAGGTATTTGTAGAACCACGTTTCTGTAGTTTAGGACGCCAAAATGCAAAAAGACCAGGAAGAACCAAAGGGCACAAATAATAACAATAATGGGAAAATAGAATATAAGGGACATCCCACTGAATAAATCGCAGTGTCACGGCCAAAATTTGAAGGTGAGTAGAAAACGGAAGCACCCGCCTTAAATAGATTTCGAATCCTACCACTCAGTCTTCAACAATATAGACCGCTTATCTTCCAGGTCGGTGAATCCACAGCTTTCAGTGAAGTGCTCGGCAGTCCTTGACTCCATAGACTATTGCGATGTTTTGGTTTGAAGGTCTATAATTTTTCGATCTACTCCGACGTTAGTAAGAACAGCACCTATGTTGGCCTGTGAACAGAGAAGCACAGATGAACGCCTGGACAGATGTCAGTTCATTAACGAGTATCTTACGTTCCTTAACAGTAACATATGTAGTAGGACCACAATTGCGTAAGCCTATATTGCTGTATCACTACGTCATAATGAGGAACAAAACTTCCCATAGTAAGGGAGCCGTAGCAGTAATACATATAGGTATCTAGCAAACGAAACTAGTAAGCAGGATGTATGAAGCAACAAAACGTACCAAGTTGTAACGGGAGATGAGTCTGAAACACATTTTTGCGACTCATCACCAAATGTAGCAGCTACTGGTTATGGCTATCGCATGGACCTACCAACATCACTTAGTGGTTCTACTATAGACCTCCAGATCTTGGTCGACACCCATGACCGAATACTTCCCAGTAATTACAACCAGAAATTAGACAGTTATTATTAGGTGGATTATTTTTAGCAGTCGGCAAAGCGCTGTGTTGATTGGGTGCGCAATTTAACTTATATTTCGGCTTTAAACCAAAATTTCAAGCATTGGAAAATTTTATGTTGGGATTTACGGACATTGTGTGAATTTTTATTTGAAGAACACAATTATAAACATTCAACCGCGGTCTTTAGGATTTCCGTTTAAAAATAACTTGTCAGACATCTTCCAATAACACCTTAGGATTTATTATTAGTCAATACTCTTCATGATTTTAGTGTAAAAGCTAGAAAGATCAACGTTTGTAAACTGTACTTTGATGATGTGGTAAGAAAATTCTCCGAATATCATATCAATGGTCAGAAATTACGGAAAAATGAGGCAGCCAGTCCGAGATATGGTGGAAAATTCTTCATGCTATTACGATATCGTGACACTTAGTTGTTTCATACACTCGGTCGATTTGAACAGATCCTGAGAGTATGTTCATATTTCCCTTTTTGAGTCGATTATTAACTTACATAAGTGTCCCATGCATATTTCACATATGTCAAACAATCATTAGAATGAAACATATTATTGATCACTTGGAAAACGAATAAACGAAACGATATCTATGTTTTTCATTACAAGATAGCCAACCACGAACGCAGTAAGCAAGAATATTGCGTACCAAACGAAACCACGTTTGTGGTTGCCAGTAACTTCGTACACAGTTTCTTGAGGTTCGGAAAACCTGACACGATTTCTCGAGCGGACACTTGTATCTCTAGCTGCATCAGACGTGTCGCTGTTATCTGAAGAATCCGGATTTTGAACTCTTACATGGTGTTAAAGTTTTTGTTAGACACTTACGGCTCTTCAATCACCAGAGAAGCTGGAAAACGTACATCGTCATAAATAGTAAGAAATAGGACATACGATCAATTAAAAGTGCCAGCTTTTTGCGCAATATTCTCCTAGTGACGTCATCTTTGTACACTTAAGACGTAGAAACAGTGCAACAAACCTTGAATAGGTGGTGGGTAATATCCTTTGTCTGACAACTCAGCTCTTAACTCATCATCAGTGAGAGACAATATCCGTTCCATATCCAGAAGTTGGTACATGCACAACACATGGGACAGAGGCAGCGCTTCAGGGGTATCGTCCACTGATGGAGGTTGCGAGCACTTGAAGGTCAAACTGTTTCAACATGATTGGTGCGTGACATCGACAACTCGTGAAGTTTTTCAGAAGCGGTCAAATCAAGGCATTTTTAGATTTGAATTGAGTTCAGCCACACCATGTCTGATAACGTCCATCCTTCAAGTAACGAAGATGATGCCATCGTTATGATGCATGATATAGGACCAATCTTCAATGATATCATGTTATCTCGGAGATTTACAAGTTGGGACAATTTTGAGACCTGTTTGAAAGAAGTACATAAGGTAATATGACTTCTGTGGTTAATGATTATTTTTGTAGTATACGCATACTAGGTACGTTATGTCAGTATGCAAAAAGAACAATGATGACCCAAATCTAAAGTATCTTTTCGTGAGATATGTTTGTACATATGGACGTAAACGCAGTTCGTCAGAGTCAGATGCTTGCGTTCAGGATGTAGGTGATGATAGTGATCATCATTCTTCCGAAGAGCACACAACTTCTAACTCACCCCCACAACCTAGACAAAGAAGACGACGTCGGTCATCTACGTATGCTTTGCTTCAAATTAATTTATCCTTCAGGTCGAAATATTGTCATTGTCAATCTGGATTTTGGGTCCGTGCAGTAAATGGTGAGCTGAAAGTCACCTCTATCAAGACCGTGCACAACCATCCTTGCACAGAAGGATATATTTCTGTAGATCCTTCAAGAAGAAAGTTGACGTCAAGTGAACGTCTATATTTAAGAACTTTTCTAATGAGTAATACGCCGACTCGTAGTTTACGGCATCTGGTTTCTTGGAAGTTCCATAAACAGCTTACCAAGGATGATATCTGTAAAATGCGTTCACAGTTGTACCCAGGTTGTTGAACTCACATTGTAATTAGACACCAAAAATATCAATAACATTTTACAGCGCGTTCAAGCAAACACTGAAGTTAAAGTACTCAGTGAACATGGAAACATATCTATGATTTGCTTCAGTCGCAGGGAGCAGGTATCTATTTACCACGCGTTCCCAGAGGTGGTATGTATTGACTCGACTTATCAGACCAACAAAGTTGGGTAAGTAACGAATAGCAATTAATTCATCTTACAGTTTTCCACTGTTCCAGCTAGTGGTGACTGATAGTCTTGGGCAAGGGCACACTGTTATGTATGCTCTTTGCAGGCAAGAACGACGAGATG